AAAAAATATATATATATATATATACTCCTTGCTTCCCTTCTTCCCATCTGTCTGTGGGAAGCCCTCTTTCAGCAGGCCTCGGTAGGATCTGTCAAAGCAGGTCTCCTATGATGAGAGCTGTCTACTGTTCTTTTCTACTCTCAAGATATTCAAAATTTTCTGTCATGCTGCCTACAGACCATGAGAAACGGAGCCCTGCAGTCAGTTATGACGACCATCACACTGATCTAGTATTGATCTTCCATCTGTTTTCAGGTCTAGGCTTATGTAGCAAGACTGGCTCATTTGATGTCTAGCATGGCACATAGCAAAGCAAAATGTATTTCAGCTTTAGTTTTGCGTCTCTTGATTACTTATAACATTTTTGACAAATCCATAGGTATCACTCATGTTTTGCACACCCCTTTCTGCCAAAGGGCTACACGAATCTTTGCACAGAGGCTGTGGTGTATACCACGCTTAGCACAATTACACTAAAAAAGAAAATATTAAAATGTATGGATTAAAAAGCAGTCATGAAACATTCTAGAGGAGCAATTCATCTGCTTCATGGCTAGTCTCTTTATACTAACATGAACCAAGAGAGACTGCAATACATTGCACACACTTCTGGTGGCTTTTACACATCCTGGTGTGTAATGAGCTTTTACTTCATTCATCACTTGAAAAGACCAGGCCGCAGAATTTCAAAACAGTCAGAAAAATAGTATTTAATTGAGAATGCCTTACACAAACATGGCAAAATTCACAATGAGAATAGGTCTAGTCACTGCTGAAGACTTTTTCCCCCCCTCCTCTTAAGAGCTGAAGTGAAGTTTTAAAGGATTAAAAACATGTCTAAATCGCCTTATGGTAATGTCTGGCAACACTATTTATAACAGAAGCCTTCTTATAATCTTAATGGGACAGATTTTAAAGGTACTTTAACTAGCTAACCTGGATTACTTACAAAAGAGTAGATCCAGGTACAAAACAAGAAAAAAAAAAAAAAAAATCTCAGGAGCGAATTATTGCATATTTCATACCATCTCCTCACTGCAGTGGGTACAAAAAACCTAGACAGAATAGTTTTCATGTATATATTTATATAAAAAATGGAAAATGCATTTGCAGTATATTTACTTTCTCCTGTCTTGGAAAGAGAATTGAAACAACTCTGTGTTCACCTTCTGTTGAGCATTGCTCAATCTTTCAGTTTAGAAACTGTTAAGAAGCAGGAAACTTCCAGCTTACAAAAAAAAAAAGTGCCATTTGTTAAAATATGAATCATGGAAAAGGCATAAAGGCTTTTGGAGACACGGCAGAAATGACTGCCTATCAGATCCCTCTTTTGATGTGGGTTGCTTCCAAGGCACCGGATTTTTTAAAAAAAAAGAAAACCAGGAAAAAAAAAAAAAAAAAAAAAAAAAAAAAAAAAAAAAAAAAAAAGGAACACGTAAGATGGCCTTCCCCATAATAGGGTAAACTGAGATATTCCGGGAGTTTTCCATTTTGTGAAACCAGGGTGCGCTGATCTTATCAATCACTCTTGGTTAGGATCCACATTCTCAGCTAAAAGCAAATCAAGCTCATTATTAGATACGAAGCAAAAACAAAACCTTAGTTTTGTAAAGAAGCCATTATTGGTTACTCTGGCTGGAGTTCTATAAAAGCAGAACTTAGAAGACAGTTCAGGAAAAATGCTCAGAAAATAATCTTAGCTTGTATGTATGAAAGTGGTAGCAGTTTCCAGAGATTAAGTTATTTCAGTTGTTTCAAGTGTCACCAGAAAACAGTGCAGAAATGACACGAACAGAAAAACTGACCCAATACTGGCCAATGAAAACAAGATCCAACAGAGCTTTTTCTTTTTAACTTTTTCTTTTAAGAGTCATTTTTTTCTTTAAGAGACAAGCATGTAAAATGTTAAGTTGTTATACTGGAATCTTTTTCAGTAGATACATTCCTCCAAAAGAAAAATACATCATTTGGTTTACAGAGCATCAGGAATTTTGATTAAACTATTGTACTGTATTGAATACATTTTCCACAGAGAATTAGTTACAAAACTCTCAGTTTAACAAATCTGAGAAAGCATGCATAAGTTGCATGCATATGAACAATACAATCTCCGAAGCAGCATTTCTACAAAAAACTTCAATCTTCTCTGGAGGACTTGGCTCCACTTTTTCCTGATTTCACTGATCTGCCCAGTCACTTAAGGGGCCGGGCTAATCCGATCGCCTGCCTCGCTTCCCTTTCGAAAGGCAGAGCAGATGTACCACGATGGGATTCATCAGCTGAACTACAAAAGGAAGATGAATGCTGATTTTAAATTCCAAACAGGCACCTGAAAACCCACACTAGGAAAGACTGCAATATTCATTACAACTATGCTTTTATTATGGTACATCAAGTGGATCCTAGAGAAAAGGAAGGTGCTGCTACCCCTTCCTATCATGACATGCCTATCTGAATTTTGCCTTGGTTTTGGGAAAAGTCTCAGGTGAACCATGAATGAACACTGATGACAACACTTGCTGCCTACAACCACATGTTTTCTCTTCCAAGATTGCTCAATTAACATACATGTAATTAGCAGTAATATAAAATGGGTACTTAACAGCCCGGTTCTAATCTGGAATAACTAAGGAAAAATTAATTTTGCAGGTAAAACTAACGCCTGGCCCAAGCAGGAGAAACAGGTTCAAACTAAGACAATGAAAAAAGAACAACTGCAAGTTCCCCAGCACTTCTGCAAAGTGCCCCCACCTCCCAGGCTCCTGTTCTCCCAAAATGGACGTTGCTCTGCAGCATCCACCCTAGCAGGTCCATCAAACCTACTGGTCTCTGCTACTACTGAGATGTATTTATATCTGTATTATATATGTATATATAGATATATAGATAGATCTATATGTATATTTATATATAAAAACATCTATATACAAATTATAAATAAATATACATATGTACCACAAAAGTATGTATAGGTACAACTTAGTCCATGAAAAACAATTTACAGTAATAGATCTCAGGTCTCGTACGTTATATGCTGTATTATGCAGCAGAAGTCAAACAGCTCCAGAAGTCGTATCTGATGAGAGGCTCTTCTGTAAACAGAAAAATGCCTTCACATTTCCTATTTGGCATTTAGCTATGCCAAAGAGGGGTGGTAAGTTGCTGAAATTTCATTTAGTATAATAGAAAACTTTTGTAAACTATCTACAAATATAATTAGAATTCTTCAGCGAAAACTAAACATGCCCAAAAGGACAATCTTAGAAATGAGACTGCAGCTGTTTTAAAAATTCATTCTGTAACTAAGAAAGACTTCTGATACTTTAGGGAAAAAGACTGGCCATTATGTGATTTGAACTCTGGTATAATGAAAGTAGTATCATTTATTAGCCTACTTTGAGTCCAGCAGGTACTATTTGGTAAAGCATGTTATCTCCCTGGATTTGAGGAGACTGAGATACAGAAAACACCATCCTTGGCACGGCGGGGTTTCATCCTCCCCTCATCCCCAAATTATTAATGTTTTTCCCAGATTATTTGGACTTTTCTGTGAATCTTTTCCAAGATCCTCTTTTCCCAGAGCCCGCAGGTAAAAGACAAGCAGGGAATTTCTGATACAATTAATGTGGTAGAATGTTACAGCATAAATCAGCATTCCCATCAAATCTATGAACATAAAAGCTGTCATGTGCAATTTCCAGGAGTGATGTGAGATGGTCCCAAATGTCTTCCAAATGCTCTTATCATAGTGAATCTATTTACTCAGTTATAATGAGCACTGATGGATGTCTAGAGTCTCCTTGATCTGTCCTAGCTGTCAGCATCTTTTACTAAAACCCTCCTGGAACCGTGCACATAAGGAACACACATGAACGATGCAAGCAGTTACAGCTGACGCTCAAATCAACTGACGTATTCCCTCTTTGCAAAGGTATCTGGGAAACACTGAAGATGAACAATAATTTTATGAACTGCACTTGCTTATTTTTTTGTATTTTTCAACCTTTACTTGAATGGCATAAAATTAGATATACATAGATCACTTCCTAAGGTAACTGAAAAAAGTGAGAGGAAAAACATGAGTAGCTATAACTTAGAAAATCTGAAGACCTACTACATGCATATTTACCAAATACATTCAACATGAAGATTAGCAGGATAATATTTTTTATTTAGAAAATCCAATCAACTAGACTGCTTGCCTCTAATGGATACAAATCTTTAAGGAAATAATCTTTCTTTACTGCTCCCTAAGTTATGAATAGTAAGTATTTGATCCAAGTTACTTTCCACACCAGACCCAAAAGAAGCTGATAGCTGAAGGTACCCTCATCTTCTCTCCCTGACTGAAAGTCAGATATTAGTAGAGCTCTAGAGACCCGCTGTCCGTGTGCCGAAAATGAGCTAATATCATTTGGCTTCTGCAGAACCCACAAAGATTAGGATACTCAGTATTAACTGCAGTCTAATCTGATCAGAAGAAATTACTGGATAAACACCAGCTCAGAATGAAACAGAGGAACAAAATCCTGACTGTTTCCTTAGGCAGCTAAATCAATGCAACAGAAAAGATACTAATCTTTTATCTTTCTGCTGCCAAGAAGGGAAAAAGAAAATACCCAAACAACAATGGGAAGATGAAGACAATAACAGAAACCACAACAGTGTTTCTCTGAAGTTCTGGATTTTCTGGCCTGTTTTTCACTGGCATTACAGTGTGTTGACTTTTACCAAAAAAGTCTAACTTCTGAAGATGACCAAAGCAAGCACAAAAATGAACAAGTTGCGGCATCAACTCTGGCAGATGTGTCTATCTGGTCACTTGTAATTATGCTAAGAGAGGCTATATATATATAGGACCTATATATATTGTATGATACAGTTTCTTCTTTCCTTTGAACAGGGATTAGGCAATGGCAGGTGGAGGACACTACAGCTCCTCTTCCCTCGAGTTTCAAATCCTAAAAGTGAAACTCGAACACACACAGAAACTCTCTTACCTTCTGGACGGTACTGAGCAACAATAGTTACTGCTTGGCCTGCATTCTTCAGGGCTGCTGCTGCTTGTTCATGGGTTGCTGCTTTGAGGTCTACCCCATTTACCTACGAATAATACCAAAAAACCCTTTTTTTAAATTTATCATTAACATGGAATATAGCCACAGGAACAAGAATTAACTGAATAAAAATCAGTTTCCATGACACATGAGATGCCCCCCTTTACAACATTACAATCCAGTTAACGCAAACAAGGATTATTGATCCAAATAAACCATCACAAGAAACCACTGCAACACACCTAACATAGCACTTCACAAATTTGTATGATTACACCCAATCATCTTGCTTAAGACCTCCATTCTTTTTAACAACACACACAGAAAAATACTCTGTGGTCACCCTCTCTCCTTTCCTTAAGAGCCCCTTAGGAAATTCCTGAGCCAAATCTTAGCTACAGACCACTAGATTCAAAAGACAGAGACAACCCTCATCTTCCATGGAATTGCCTAGCATCATTTTCAGTGTATCAGATATAAAAATGTTGCGGGGGGGAGGGGGAGGGAAGAAAAAGAAACCACAAAAAGAAAATCCCCACACACAAAGCAGAACCACCCCCCAAAACACAGACCAACCTCAGTATCAGCATTTTAACAGTAGCAGAGCCAATTTTTTTTTCCTCTTAAATAGCTACCAAATCACATCTTTATTCCTCATAAACTAAATCATTTTAAGAAAAACAAAATGTGTAAAAGCTTTACACATCTCGGTACGAGCAAACAGAACAGGCTCTCAGGCAGGGCGAGAAGGGTCTTGCTGTGCTTACCAGGGAGCTCAGCAGCTACTGCAGAGAGCAGAGCACCATCTTTCCCACACTACTAACAAATATCTCTACCTTGTTAAAAGGTTTGTTTCTAAAAGCTGAAACCTCTTAATTTAGGCATATGCACCCTGACTACCAGACTTGGAACAAACATCTTTGAGGTAGGAAAGTGCTATTTTCATCAAGTTATAGATAAAAGATATAGACAGATAAAAGCTTCAAAGATAGCTTGAAATATAGCGGTTACTGTTCCATTGTCCCAAATTTAGCATAGTTAATGAGATTCTTCTGCATATAATCCATCTTAATATGCAGGAAGAGGGTGATTTTTCTAAGTAATAAAGAAGCAGCAGCAAGGAATCCTACTGAAATTATACGATCTCCTTTCCTAAGCTCTCCACTCAGGTCAGCAGGCCCTCCAGCAAGGATGAAAGAGATGAAAATTCCTTCTCCATCTTCTCCTCCAACAATGTTGAAACCAAGACCTGTTGATCCTCGATGAAGGACAACTTTTCTAGGCTCCCTGGAGTAAAAAAATAAAAATAAAATAAAATAAAAACACACACACACAGAGTCTTGGTCACTAGTTATGAATAAAATAATGAATTAACAGCTCAAGAGCCTTATTATAGCTTGGTATTACTCTTCCGGGCACTGTTCATCATCTTTCCCCCTCCAAAGTGACATGGGGCAGAGCTATAACATGGCTATGACCCAACAGAAGAAGTGTGTGACTACCTCACACCTGTAGAAAACTCCAGACCCACATTCTTTCCCATAATATCATAGAAGGTTTGGCCTAGATGCCTTTATCTCAATTTCCTCCCTTGTACAATACTTAAAGAGGTACTACAACTCTAATCTCATTATTCATACAGCATTTTAACTCCAAAGGGAGAATTTAACAGTCTGAAATTAGCATGACATGCATCATTTGTTTAGTGTTCACCAAGACAAACTTCTTACATAACTCATGTACACTGAATAATCTTAAATAGATTTAAAAACTTAGAAAGTGAAGCTACTCCTATTATTTAATATTGATTATAGAAGCAAAGCACTCATACAATTTTAATGACAGCCTCAAGTTCACTGCATATGCATATCTCAATGCCACATGAAATGATGCATTATTTCTCAGTTCATTAAAGTACACTAAGCCACTACAGAATTCCCTGTCAAGTGAATGATACATATAAACATAACAACCAATAAAAATTCCTTTCTAAAACTTAAAGAAAGGATTATTTTGGAAAAGCATGTCCTTGTCCGTTTCATTACGGTTGATCAAGCAGTAAATATAGCCAACAAAAGTTTAAGAACTACACATACACTCTTTCCAATATCAGAATTTACTGCTTTCCTAAATACATTTGCAACTTATTTACAGCAACTGCAGCTGAAAAATAAATAGAAGACTTAAACCAAGTTGTTTGATTTATTTTATAAAATCCCTGCCTGCCCTGGATGAGGAAAGGAAAGAAAAAATACTCAAGAGGCTAAATCATTAGGTAAGTTCACCTTCAGTGGAGAAAATGAAAAATATCTAACCTGCTACTCCATCCACTGAATGAAAAGCATGGATAGTTCTGGAAGCCAATGAACGATTTCTAATATTTAACCACAGTAACTGTGTGCTGCATTTAAAAAAGCACTGGAGAGCACTAAAGAACAACTGAGACATTAATTATTACTTTTTAGGATGTGCTAAAAGGTCCGCAATAAACAGAACAATCACATCCATACCTTAGTTTGATCTTTGAAAATATTTTTAAAGTGTTTGAAATGTTTTTAAAGTGACTCTTTGATCAGCATTCCCACACAAGGAAGGTGAGAAAGTATTTAAGGGAAAAACACCTGAAGCCTTCTCCAGGTAGCTCTAGATTCCAGAAGAAACCTAAAGGGTTTCTTTACAGCAGTTTTAGAAGAATTAAATAAACTCAAGCTCAGTAACGCTGTCAGCAGGACTGAGTCACCTTGGCTAATGTGTCCGCCTACCCACAAGGGTAAAATAACTATGAAAACCCATATCCAAGCCTTTCTCATCTCCCAACACACTAGAAATAATCCTCTAAATTATCAGGCCATGTATATTCCAAGCTTGGGCAGATCCTGCCTCAAACTTGACTGTTATCTGTATCAGATGGCAGTAGGACACTGTTTAGTTACCACATTCTGAAAATGCAGCTTAACATCTCTATACTTAGAGAACAGAGGGGTAACAAAATTAGAAAAACCTCACTTGAACAGTGATGGTAAACAAAAGATTAATACAATCTCCTATCAAATCAGTGAAGGAAGAGTCTACTAATAGAAAAAGATTAAGAGCTTTCCAGCCTTTTTGGATTTAATAATCCATCAAAATAAAACCCCTTCTGTAACAACAAAAAATCTCTTGATTTAAATTAAGCAGTAATCATTAACCCGCGATAAATTCAGAACACAAATGCCTCATTTCTGGCCTGAACCAAACTGCTTAGAGTGCACCCTCCTGCACGGAGCTAGGAGCTTTGTGGAATGACCCCACAGTCAGCACCACACTACCTGAAGTCACAGCTATCATTTCTGCTCTGGTCACCCCAAAAATCTCAGTCAACTCTTGAAGCACTTGGGCAACGTCTTCTGGCTTTAATCTTATTCTCAGGATCATATCATATACAAAAAGAGTTTTCCTCCTTTGATCCGTACTTGTGCTAGGAGACCACAGATTTACATTTATTTCTTCTTTTAGCATCGTGCCCACAGACGCAAATTGGGAGCTTTTCTGGCCGAGGAGCCCGACGGGCAGCTCGTGGCTCCTTACCTGGTGATCTCCTCGTCGCCGAGCATGCCCTTGGGAATGGGGGAGTAGCGTCCCGGCGACGCCGGCGGCAGCGGCTGCCCCAGGTAGGCGGATGACGCGATGTGGTTGTCCACTGGCTGCGAGTAGGCTTCAAAAGGGCAGGGGGACAGACAGGCAGGGAGACAAACAGTGAAAAAGAACTCGAGGAAGTGTAAAACAGTCTCAAACTGCATCTCACTTACAGATGGAATGTAAACATTTAAATGATACGTTAAAAATACCATATTTTTAAGATACTCTATCACGCTGCACATTCTACGGTCTCCTCGCACTTGAAATCAGCAAGCAAATTTTGAGGTCTGACTATGCTTTATACAGAAGAGATGTTTTTTTGAAATAAGAAACGCTAAATATTTGCAGGAGAACAAAGACTGGAAAGTTAATCGGTTTTTCAATTATGTTTAACTTAACTGAATTTAATTTAAAATTTCATTTTCTCAGAGTGTTGTCACAGCTTCAAAAAAAAAAAAAAAAAGGGTATTTTAAAGCTTCTTCCTTTGCAATGCTTTGGTACAGACAAGGCAGACAGGTTTTGCACCTTAAAGACTCCAGCTGATGCAAAGCACACTACAGTGCCAGGCAGGACAAGTGTGGAAGCAGCTAGGAGGGTGCAGGTTATTTCTGGGTTGGACACATCCATGCTTTGCAGCTATTCAGACCTAGTCATAGTGTGACAGGTCACACTATCTCCTAACACAAAGTGTATCGTACAACTGAAAATCGGTGTGGGTGCTTCAGGCCAAGACTGCATTAGACGAGAACAGAACAGAGCAAGTCTGTGGAATTAAATAGCTGGTCTTGACAACTTGCTATGTACACTGTTGGGCTGGAGGAAGAAGGGCTACTGAAGGCCTGTTAGGGATTGTAATGCTCCCAGACTGCATTTTCTAGCTTAGTTTCATCTAAAATTATTTGAACATGGGTCTTCAGCAAAGCAAACCTTTCTGAAGAAGGCAATTCTGCAATGGAAAGAATCAAGGATCCTTCTTCACAAAAGGAAGTAATCCAAGAATTAATTATTCTAGTACTTGACAATTTAATTTAGATTATGTAACTACAACTTTTGGAGGACTATTTTCTGCGTTTAAGGAAAAACTAAAAGCATTCTAAGACACGAGCTGTACAAGTTCCCCGGCTCCTCAGCACCGCAGGCAACCTGTGAGCACCCAGGCTGCGCGGAACCTGTGGCCAGCAGCGCGGAACACGAGGGAAGCTCCCCAGGCAAAGAGCCACAGCGCGTCGCGCACCGCGCGCAGCTCCCACCTACCTTCCGAATTAGAAGCTTCTGCAATTCCCCTTCAATGCCTTATTTTTCATATGTAGCTCACCATTACGACTACCAGTTAAGACTGAAGGAAAGCTAAAAGAGTCTGATCATTGTTTTCTCTTTACAAGAAACCTTGTAATTTAAGGGTGGTTTTGCTCTATCAGACACCTTATCAGAAAGGCTATAGAACAGGCTCAGGGGTTAGTGCACAATTAAAGGGAACCCTAACCCAGCCCTTCTCGCCTCACTAAAAACTAAAAAATAAAAAAGAAGAAAAAAAAATCCCACAGCTGGGAAAAAAGACCTCAATGGGATTGAGGACACAAAAAAAAAAAAAAAAAAGGCAGCATTCAGTGGGGAAACTTTGACAATAACCAGTGCTTTTCAAGATGCGGGATTCATGCTGACCTCACACTCACTGAGACACGGGTTGCTTTTGGTAGCAGCTGTAATGCATGGGCACTTCCCTCTCGGTCCTTGTGTCCTCTGCAAGGCCTTGAAGGCAGCAGATTCTGCTCCCTTATTCTGCATGTGTCTGGGACAGGACACAGCTTATCCACGCACTGACAGCAGCTCCTGACAGCTCACAGTCCCTGTCTGAAGTTGTTCTCTTTTGACCACAGTGGGATCTGTGCAGCACTGATATTCTCACTGATTACTAAAGAGTGCAGCAGCACAGATCTGCCTCGCAAAAATTTGTAATAGAAAATATGCTTCTTTTAAAATACCTGAAACTATTACATTCAGAAACGTATGCACCATTTAATATCATATACTCATACATTTAAAATTGTATCTTTTTACCACATAAATAAATTCAGCTATCAAGTAATTTAACAAATTATTATTTTAGACCTCTTGACTATTCCACATCAGCACTGGCTACATCCTGTTAATGAAGTTCTACCTGTGCTAAGCATTTTGCAAAGTTGAGTCATTTTCCAGAGTTAGCATTCTCCAGCACTACGGAAGCTAACATACAAGAAACTGTTTTGGATGAGCAGAAAATTACAAGCATAAGATTAACTTGATAATTTATATTATAGCTGAAGCAACAGAAAAATCACACTCTTGAAGAGAATTTCCATTTCCAAATCCACTCTCCCTTGACATAATTCTACACCGAAAGATGATGAAAACTTCCTTATTATCTGCAAACTGAAGAGACCAATCTTGAGTACACTCTCTAAAGTGTGAAATAAAATAAGAATTTTATTGCAATTTTCTGTTATTATATACTCTTCTCTTCCCATATTTATGTCACTTAAGAAAAAAGGAATTTATGCCTCCACCCAGAAAACTGATTATACCTCCCCTGCAGCATTCTGAAACTTCTTATTGCACTGTGGAAATAACCGTACCAATGCACACAGAGACAGACAATAATGTAATAATCCAACACGGACTAGTAGTCAAAAATGCATCATTCATACTGCCTTCAAGGAGGGCCTGTAAGGGAAATAAGTCCTTCTGGTCTGTCAGAAAGATGTAGATGTTTTTCTGAGTTTGATATTCTAAAGTAAGTACCGCGCAGTTAAAGTTTTACTTTAACAGGAAGTTCTGGACATGCTTAGTGATGGCTGACTGAAAAACCTGAAAAGCATTTAGACCAGTAAATTACTTCACTGGTAATTCCTGGGCTGATTTTTATTGACCAACATTTGTGAACAGATTACTGCAGTAATTTAAATTCCCTTGATGACTTGCTACAGCAGACTAACAGGATTATCAGCCACATAAGACAGCTGGATGACATCAATCCATAGGTCCATCCACTGTGGACTGCATTGATGCTCTTCTTCCACAGACAAGTAACAGAGCTTTTATGGAATTTCTACGTTTCCAATACTGGAAGATCTCATTTTTCAGTCTACAAAGACTGGATGCCGCAGCAGAGAACAGCACTCAAATGGCAACGTGCCCAGAAATAACAGTCTTCCATGAACTGTGTTCCACATGAGTCATAAAATGCAGATTCTTGTAAAGTATCTGTATAAGCTAGCACACTTCAGGGGGGAAAACAAATCCTACTGAGATGACAATCAGAAACAGGGCAAACAATCAGCTATTGCAGCCTGTCAAGAGCTAGATGAAGCTTTCAGCACCCACACGCTGCACACTTTGAAGCGTAGCCGTCTTCAGAGCCATAGCCCATAGCCACAAGCCACGCTTCTCACACACACTGCAATTGGGATGGGATCTGCTGGATGCTCAGGAATCAGACAGCTCCAGGTCCGCTTTAATGACGACTTTGACATTCGTTTCCCTCAAAGCAGCCGGAAACTGTTCATTAGCTGTGATAAATACCAAGTGACTGAGGACAGTTTTATGCCCCAGGTGCACACAATGAAACACACAGGAGGATTTGCAAGCTTCCTGACAGGCATTGCCATAAACCACAACCTCGGGAACTTCTTGATCAAATGTCCCTGGACTTGAGGACACCAACCTCACTACAGAAATGTCACATTTCAAATGATTTGAGTGGCCACGTGGATTCCATGGGGCCATCTCTTGCGCCATCTGAACATGTGACAAAACTGTGCTTTTGCATAGCCAGTGCTTTTACTATAGGAGCTGTAAAAGAAAAATGAGTTTACAGAAAGCCTAGCTACTAGACTTTGTGAATCTGGTGCCCAAGAAGTTCTGCCTCGAACACTCTTTAACTCTCACTTTTAAATACAGAGCACAACCATAAACACAGAGAGTGAGGCAGCTCCAGAGGCAAACCTACACCAATTCTGGGAGAAAGTGTGAAGACAAAGAAACCCTCACTTTGATGTTCTGTGGATTCTTGAATGAACTCTTGTGTTCACACAAGTTACGATCAGTGCAGGCTGCAACACGTCCTGCTGAGCAGACAGTACAGCCTCGAGCCTGGCGACAGGTACTGATCACCCCTAGTTGTTTCTGATAAAATGATTTTTTTTTTTTTTTCTTTTCAACAGGGACAGCCTGTGCAGTAAGCAGCCTAGGCACATACTGATGTGGTACAGAGGGGTTTTCATCTCAGTAGAACTTGTACAAAATGGGCATGTCCATAGGCAGCCTCTGTGCAGGTTTAGGAGATAGAGTAGCAAAAGGAATGCTACTTTAGGAAAGGACCCGAATTCTTAAAAATTTGAATAAGACAGGAATTTGAAGGACAAAAATATGAAGAAAGGTAGCAAACACATTTCTGAACAGCTGCAGGTAAGTCTTTAAAGGGAAATAAATATGTAGAAGAACCAAGTCAAAGAAAAACTAAACTTACAGTTTGTGATGTCTGGTGGGGCATAACTATCATTCATGAACATGCTGGTGGGCTTCGCAACTTTCAGATAAACAAAGTCAGATGTGTTTTTTAAGGCAGTCACTGCTTCTTCATGAGTAACTTCTTCTAAGCAAACACTGTTCACCTAAAGAAGAAAAAATAAACATATTTTCAGTTTAAAAGTGATAGCTTTTGACATGATGCTCAATGTAGAAGTGAAAAACAATCTTATTGCAGGCTGCTTTACATTTCAGGCATTTAGACTCCAGAAACTAACAGCCAACATCAGTAATATGTTGATTAACACAGGTTTTTGCATGAAGCACTGTGCTGAGGTACACATTTCAAACTTCCTGAAACAACTATGGACCACAGTGCAGATTTAATTTTATCACTGATTTTGTGGAAGAGTGACATCTTAATGACTTCTACAATAAAATCTGCCAGCTCCACTGACAGGTAGCTTCACTATCAAGTGCATCACACTCCTGTGAAACCTGCAAGTGAACGCTCATAAAAGAAACTGCAACTCTAACTTACAGCTAAAAGTTTGTCTCCAATCTGAAGTTTGCCATCCTTATGGGCCGCTCCTCCCTCTATGATTTTGGTTACATAGATGCTGTTGTCTCCAGGTATATGTTGATTTCCTACACCACCAGCAATACTGAAACCAAGACCTGCATGAAAATGAAGCAAGTACTCAAGAAATCTTTTAGCATTCACTAAACTCTTAAAATGAAAGAACAATGCTCCTGTATCACATATATACACAACTGTTTATATATTCACACATATATAAATATGTGCACACATTTAAGTGTGTGTATTTCTAAAAATATAAAGGAGTCAGCTGAATAAACACTTTGCCAGCGAACTTCTTGATTTTCCAGAATATTCTAAAAAGAGCAGTAATATTTAGAGTTTTGACAACAAAGCTAGCTGATTTAGTTCATGCCTTGTGAAATACATACACAGCAGCTAAAGCAGCAGTATTTATAACTGCAGAGCTATTTTCCACCATTTCCACTTGCAAAAAGGCAAGAATATTATTTCCTAAATGTTTTTAATCTCCCAAGATTTTTCTAGATATTTCACCTGAAATAACGTAGTTATTTAAAAACTAAATAACAATAGGAACATAATTGAGCTACCCATTTTTACTACTTGAAAGAAAAACATGCACTCTACAGGAACAATATTACAGCAAGCATGCATGAGAATGCAGGAGTGTTTGAGGGGCTATGGTCTTACCTTCTTTATTTTGCATTTCAGAGCTTCATACACAAGGTACTGCTTTATTTTGACAAAAAGACATTCTAAAATCAACTCTATCTGGCTTATGGAACACAAGCCTTATACTTCTTACATACCTTTAGGGCCTTTTACAAGTTTTATCTCCACTATTTTTTCTGTGACTGGTTTTCTCCTTTTAACATACAATCGTACAATTGATCCTGCTTCTTTCAAGGCTTCAACTGCTTTGCTGTGCGTCACATCACGAACATCCACCTCGTTTACTCGTAGAATACAATCATTAACCCTAGAGACAGCAGTGTTCACAGTCAGCTGCTGTATGGTAGCACACTGGACACATTAGAAACATCCTAGTACTTATCTCAAATACACTAATAAACACATTAACACAGTAAGATGTATAGAATTTTCTTTGAAATTATACAGAGTCAAAAGAAGGCTTTAAAACTAATTATTAGTGCAGTAGTTATTGCATAAAAAAGTAACCGGAAAACATTTAAATTTACCATTTTGTCCACAATTGAAATGCATGTGTTTCAACTTAGAGTGCTTTAATCAGAGCTTTGCTCAAGGTACCTTTTGTTTGGGAGTGTCAGAAGCTTAAGTCAGGAACTAAGAGGGATACAATGAGAAGACACTGGTTCTAAACCAAGATACAAACAAATGAACTTCCTGCGCTGCCTTCCTGTGTTTCACAAGTTTTGTGCAAGTGCTGGCTTTCTACTTCATTCAGCGAGCTGCTGAATTCCTCCTGCTATTAAGAGTTATAAAGGAGTACCATATCACAACTAAATAAGAGAGAGAGGACAACAGGGAAGGCAAACTATTGATTTGAACAAAAATTATGCCTTTCAAAGATGTGCTACCTGAAAACTTGAAACACAGAATGATGATATCAGAGTACTGTTATTAATCACAATTAATTTACTGATTAGGTAATCTGTACATAGATACCAAGAGCTACCTACCCTACACGTTCAACTTTTTCCCTCATTAATAATCAGTTAGAGTGGAAACTTTTTCATTTTGAAGTTTATCACAGAAATGGACAAGATCTGGCAATATAAAATAATTTTAAAAGATGACACGAATTTTATTTTGGAATACACTGACCCAATCTGATCAAACTGCATTTAAACGCCAGGTTTGATTACTATATTTGGGCAGGGACCATATAAACTGTACCAGAGAAATATATTAAAGCATAAATGTAAAACATGCATCAATGATCAAAACAGAAAGATTTGAGTTGTCTTTTACAAAGTAGTAAAAAAACAAGAATATAACTACTCCAAAGAGGGAAACAAATTACAAAAGTGGTCTTAAGTGAGGGAAATGATCTATTAGTATTTCCTCTCCTTTGTTCCTATCAGCAGTCTTTCAGGAAGCATTCTAAGACAATGTAGTGAAGGAATATTAGCCATGAGCATCAATGCCACTTGAGGCAGGCAAGTCCAAAACTCCTTTCCAAATACAAGTATCAGCCACTCGGCGATGCAATGTGCATCTAGAGCTGCCCAATCCTCAGCAGCGCCAGCTTTGTGGCACTGACATTCTGACAGGATTCCCCAGCCAGTGCTCCCCTGCCTTCCAGCACTGCCAGGAGCCTATCTGAGCACCACCTCAAAGCAGCCCTGCTCTACGGCAGGTCACTCAAGACAGAGTGGCACCAGGCTACCCTGTCACCCCAGGGATGCAGGTGCCTCAGAACTAATCCTTCCGGATACTCTATCCGGGACTTGCCAGAAGTCCTAACCAGACTGCTGAAATGCATCTTCCCCACTGCATTCTTTCTATCTCCTCTGCTAAAACTAATCTTAATTCATGCAGTATTTAAAATTGTGCTGTGACAACAAAATACAAGCTTATTCAGCGAGTGCATTAGTATTAAGTCACATAAACATTAACTAGTACAAGACCTGAACTCTCCAGTGGAGGTAGAAGAACCAGCATACAAGAAAAAAAGGAGGATAAAAACATGGTGGATGCTCTCCAGCACTGCCTGCTGTTAGCAATAGCTCATCCAACCATTTCTGCTTGGAGCTCACCATTTTGATGGATTCTACAATCTCTGCACAATTTATAAAGTGAGACAGGAAACATCTATAACCTACTTAGAGAAATACAATGTGAACTTGGATTCAGTACAGCTTAAAAATGAAGTGCATGAGGGAAAAATAATAATGAAGAAAGTTATCTTAAACTGGTAGAAGAAAGTCATTTAAAGATGCTTAAAGATGCAGAACAATCCACTACTGAGGTCCCATCAGGACTCAGTAGTTTCATCAGAACTAGAAGATTTAAACGTACATTTGCAGTACCAGAGGCACGGGGAGTGCAATCAAACATACCCCATCATCATTTAAGTGGTATTGATAAACTGTACAAATTACTTCCTGGGGAAGGGTACATTCAAAAGCGCAACATCAAAAGTTCACCAAATTAAGGATTATAGAGCATTTGGCAAAATCAATGTATACCACAGAACAGAGAAGTTCACTTAACTACAGATTTATTGGATGAAAAAAACAACTTGAGTATTTTCATCATTTATTTAAATAATAAAAACTTAAAAGTTTTATGTGATATCATAAACTGAAATCTAGAAATGTTTATTCTTCTGATTGATAAAAAAAATACAACACAAAAACATATCATACCGTAATCTTCCATCCTGAGCAGCTGCACCCCCAGCTATAATTTTTGTAATGAAAATACTTGCATCATCCCCAATATGTGGGTTATCTGTTCCACCTGCAATGCTAAAGCCAAGTCCTGAATTTCCCTAAAGAAAGGAAAAAACATTTTTTATGAGGGGAAAATAAGATGATCCTTTTCTAATAAAAGTTAATATGTTTGATTCAATACAATACCAAATTTCTATAATCTTTAACTGACAAAAGTCATAAAAGCCATCATTAAAAAACAGCTGACATTTTTGCTGCTACCCTTGCTCCTGTCAAAAAGTTTGTTTTTCAGTAAACATCTAAAGGGCCTGTGCCCCTCAAAAACACTACAGAAGAGCAGCTTCAGGATTTCTGGCAACTTACATTTGTCCTAATTGTCAATAAAGCACACACAGACTGAACTAACTGCAGTTTTGTTATCAACACAATATCAAACCACCATTATATTGCAATAAAGATCTGAGGGCAAAAGTCTCTCTCCCTTCCATGTATCTATCTATCTATCTATATATATATATATCTGTGTGTGTGTGTGTTCATTCAACATTGCATGTGATTTTTTTTTCATTTAGGTTAAATAATTTACCTAAAAAATAAATAACTTTTAGATTGCCTTTTAACAGCATACTATCAATAGGGTTTCTTTTTTTTTTTTTTTTAAATATTTAAATATCATGAGCCCAATTTCAAAACAGAGTACAGGAAGATGTTTGGTATATTACCCTTTCAAGAGTAATTTCTTCATACTCATAATCTGCATCTGTGCCATTGACCTAGAACGAAAGAAAAGGTTATTTTACACTTTACACAATTTTGTTAGGCTGGAAACTCACTCCCATCAAATGCCAACTGATTCCCACTGCTCAGAGCTCTAGAAAAGGACTGTGATTTTCCCATTCTGCTCTACATTAATTATCAGACATCCCTCTTTTCCCCAACTTTATCTCTCTGTACTGCAATTTAAACCACATCCATTCTAGACATAGCAGATTATTATCTTCCTCTTGCCCCAGCACCTCAAATATGGTCTGTCCTTAATAGCTTGTCCAATGGAAGGGAAAAAAAAAAAGATATCTTGCTTTTAACATGATATTTCTCTATTCAAAAAGGTCCTGTCCTTATGAATACATGAAAAATATTACACACTAAAACATGTGCTAACTGACCCAGTCATCTAGTATTACAGCATCTGGGAAATGGTTCAGGATGACTGATCAGTGTGTGGCTTCCCTTCCTTCCCTCTGCCCCCAGAGCTGGAATATTGGCCATTAAACACAGCTGTACTTAGGGCCACCAGGTGAAACAGAAGGGGAAAAGCCAACCCTATTACAGCTAAGCACTCTCTCATCTATTCCTATTAACAAAACTCTGCAATCAGTTTTTAAAGTACAACATAAAAAGAAGCTAAAGAAGTTCTTCAATATTTTCAGCTTTTCCGTTAGCTCAGTTTTATAGACCTCCCTTTTTAAATTTACCTTCACAGTGATTCTACTTAACGAACAAAAACACAAGCAGGAGCAAAGATGCATCAAATGATAAAAAACAGAGTCCTGTAAAACATTTTGCCAGTTTTGTAGTGCTCCCAGGTCTACTGAGGCAAGCTTTACCTGAAGGGAATTTTCCTGGATGAAAGGAGGTTCCTGTACTTCTGCTCTAACTATGTTACCATGAAAATCCAGCAACTTCCTTTGACTATGAAGACCTATTTAAAGCTCAGCAAAACACGTTTAGAAATTTTTCACTTGTATTGACATGGAAATGCTGCCTAAAAAGTTGACTTGGATGGCATGGCTGGTCTTTTTGCATGCTACCAACCAGAGTTGTATATGTATTTCCTTGGGCTTTTACAAAGGATTAAAAAAAGCAGGCTTATTTGTGTTATTATTTTCCAACGCAGTATGAGCTTACGTGACAGGGTACTTGCTCAGCAGCTTTACAGTCCAGATAGCTGGACAGTGAGGACTGTGTTCTGACCATTTGTCCCTTACTGACTTTTTTTTTTTCTTTTTTCAACAGGAAAAAAAAATGTTTATTTCCTAAGATTTTGCTTATTCTTGATTCTGATCTCACAGGAATTATTTTACACATCACCTAACATCTCCATAACCTACATGGCAGTGAACCTGGAAGGCATCGCTTTACTCACCCTGCTATCATTACATAGCAGGTTAGATTACAGATGGCTACGGGATTGTTTGTTTTACCTTCACTGTAAACTGATAACTCCAGGATCCTATGATTTCAAGTGTCAATTCGTTTTGTTAGTTCAAACTTCCTTTCTAGCTTCTATTATCTACTGTCCTCCCAGTGTCCCTATCAGATGGAGCTATTTGAAATGCGATTTTTTTTAATTCAATTTTTTCCTCAATTTAACATTTGTGTGTAGAGGGAGACACCTCAGTCAACACTCTCCTAAATCTCCCTTGCATCACATCAGTAGAGCATCCCCAGCTGCTGGGATCCTTTTAGTCAGAGGTAACTTCATTCATGGCCTTGAGTCTTTGAGTCTAACCTTCAAGCTAACCCTGTCACTGTACCTGTCTTTTTATTCTCCTATTTAATCTGTTCATTCATGCTTTTGTCTGTCTCGAGACCCTGGAGCTTCCTTCAAGCGATGTTTACAAGCAGCAATGCTTTTTACAAGGAAAACATTGATTCTCCTTTACTTGCTAATACCAGTTCCTAAAGCAAATTCAAAATAAAGGAGCTAGTACAGATACCAACACTGTGTTTAGAAAAGCAACAGGAAAGTGGGATACAAATATCTACAGTTAAGAAGGTTTTCTGAAAACTGCAACTGAAGTGACCTGTTAAGTACCGATCGTTACCGAAGGTGAACTCAGTATCCAAACAGCTACATTTTGTGCTGTCCACACAGCGCTACTCATGGAACCTTCCCTAGGAATCTGCCGCATTTTTTTCTTGAAACATGATTTTAGATAAACATTAAGATATTTGAAGCAATTGTGCCTTGTAAAAGAGGCAAAGCAGGCTTTATTAATCAGTAACAGACCCAGACAAGTATACATACTAAATACTACATAAAGTTGCGATTGAAAGGAGACAAGCTTACGTATGTTGAAGACTCCAAGGAATCTGTATTCACCAATACTGGAGGGGGATTTGCCTTTAAAAGACAAACAAATATTATAAAAGAGAAAACAATTCTGAAATGGAAAATTATCCACTATTCCATGTGCTTAGTTTCTCAAAGTTCTGTTAGGATGCAGCCTTAACTAGAAGAATCTGAAAAACTGACCTCTTCTGCAACTTGTTCTCAGCCTCTTGACCTGTGCCCAGTTCTTTCACCCCACAAAAGCTGCCATTCAAAACTGCATCTGCCACATCCAGAGTTCACAGCTTTCTACAGTACTTTTTAATTGCTTATACTCAGGTGTGTCCAAGAACAGAGGTAGTCCCTGCAGGTGCCTGTAGGAGCCCCAAGGCACTTGCCACTTGGCTCCTGCTGATCTGCTTTAACCTGGCCCCATCCATGGGCACAGGCACTGCCCCAGCTGTGCTGGGGCAAACAGCAAATAAAAACAAATAAGAGTAACAGGCAGCTACATCCTTCCTGCCTTCATCCAGGACAGAATGGCTCCACCTAAAAGCATCAAGTGAGAACATACAGAATATCCTAATTTTCTTTTCCTCCTACAGGAGGAAAATACAGAAATTCTACAGAATATCCTAATTTTCTTTTCCTCCTCTTACTTTAATGTTTCTTCTTTACCTACTTCATACCTTTGATTATACCATGATTAATATGCTTAGATATGAAAATATAAATATATTAAATAGAATAAAAGCTGCTGCAAAACAATAAAAAAGATAGGATACAGTAACGGCTCATTTTCTCTCTGCCTCTTTTGCTTCTTCCTTAAGGAATACAGCAATAACAGAAAGTCTCATGTTACAAGTGGATGCCAGGATTCGGATCCTGTATTTTCAGGAGCACTCAACGAGAAAACACTGCAGAGAGTTGGCAGCAGCTATTGATATAAAATAGCTAATGATGCAGCTTCAAGGAGTTGCCAATAATTAAAACAAGTACAGATCCAAAGCTAACTTTTCTTTTCCATAAAAATAATGGTATTTTGAAGGATAGCAGGAAAAGAAACATTTTCAGTTCAATTTATCCTCATTTATTTGTTTTAAATTTCCACCCAGGAATACCAGTAACCCACAGACAATCTTCATAGGTGTTTTGAAAGCGCAACACAGGGATTCCAAGTACACTGCCCAACTTGCAGTAAAATTTTCTCTCTGCCTAGTTGATTTTATTTGTCTGAAGCAGTGCTCTGTTCAGCTGTTTGTTTTAAAGCAACTTTTGCAAATGCCTGATTCAGAATGAACTATACAACAGGAAACAAGGTGGAAACAAGGTAGCTCCTGTGGGAAACAGACTTCAGAAGTTTTTTGTTTGTTTGTTTAAAGCAACACTAATACTTAAAACTTTCAAGCATTTGTTTTCTTAAAAGCTATTCAAAGAAAGTAAAGGCCAATCCCGCAGAACTACTAATAAAACAGTCACAGAATCATATACTCGTATTCTGAAAATATCAACACACATGTAAGGAATTCTAGTGTATTTCTAACTTAGCTATTTCATGGTGTTTCAGACCTGTGTGTGACTAGACCAGAAAGCAAATTTAAACAACAATGAATTAAATTAAATCAAATAAATAAAAAGTTAAACAAATTAAACAAAAAAGAATAAAAACCTGTGGTATGGTGGATGGGATGACAGTGGTCTCGGCAGGGACTGGAGGGACAGGGATCACAGGGACAATGGGAGTAGAGGAAGGAACAGCTTCTGTGGGCTAAAAATCACCAATAAAATGTCAAAAAAAAGCAAAACAAATAGTACTCAAATTTAACAGCTGCTTTTCAATTCTCAATAGCATACTGATTTAAAGTTGCTAAACAACTGAACAGACATCCTTAACCACATGGTATAATGATGGTGCATTCCCAACAATATGTGAACATCAAAGACTCCAGGAAAACATCCACACCATTTATTCCTACCCACTTACCTTGCAGTGCAGAAGAGCAAGACTCTGGGGTCCCAAAGAAAGGCTTTTCATGGCAGTTGCCAGACTCAGGCTTTATAGGGGCTGCTTTCAAGGCAGAAGCCCTTCATAATGATAGAGTAGTGGAAAGAGGAGGAGAACAGTCTTTCAAACTCATAGTACCCAACAAATCTGGCTCCTCATTGATCAAGGGGAGAAAAAAAATGTGTTTCCTAAACTAGCCAAAATTAAATAAAAACTTGGTCATCTGAGCAGAAGATCCTAACACTCCTTCATCCCACCTCTTCAGGGATCGCCATACAGGCTTATTAAACAAACATATAGCACAACCCCCTCATCCTAATGAATCATAGAATCATAGAATGCTTAAGGTTGGAAGGGACCTCTAGAGGTCATGTAGTCCAACCCCCTGCACACGCAGGGTCACCTAGAGCACGTGGCACAGGGCTGCGTCCAAGCGGGTTTGGAAGATCTCCAGAGAAGGAGACTAACCTGAAAGTACAAAACTCGTGAAAAATATGTGGCCAGACAGAATAATCAGTTTAATGACTGAGAAGAACAAACTCACACTGCAAGCTTTATTATATGTCAATCACAACTTTCTTATATACCAAAGGCTCATACTGAATCAAATTCTCAACAAACTGGTTTGCTAATTCTGCTACACATGAAACAACCCGTGTTAAAAACAAGAGTAGGAGAGACAGAATCATCTTCTGCTTTCTCCTTTCCCTTAGCTGAAAGGAACTGCACAGCAGCAGCAGGTCAGTTATGGCACAGCTAGGGCTTTACACGATTGCAAGAAAGCAGCTGACTGCTGCAAGAAAAGATTTCCATTTGGGAATTTTAGTTAAAATAATCCTTAAAAAATTCTGCCGACATAGGCTGCAAGGGAACATGATTATACACAGCATTTGGGACTAAACACTGATTCAAATAATTTGGACATGTTAAGATACTGGTTGTCAGCAAACTATCAGAAACTACTGGCACCTATAAGCCAAAATTACAGACTGAACTATAGATCAAAGTTCGTATGAGTTAGTTTTTCCAAGACATTGATCTTGAAATACTCCGAAGTTAACAAGACACACAAGGAAACTATTAAATCTCGAAAATAATCCCAAAACATTAAAGTATTAAAAGTATTTTTAAAGTTTGGATGTTTTAATAGGCAAGGCAAAATATTTCAATAGCACAAGCCAAATTAAAGATCAAAAGCAAGTACTAAAGAAATTTAATATCACCCAGGAGCAGCAGCCCCTACTAGAAATATACATTATATTTACACAGGTGTTTTCAGCTCCAGGCCCAAGCCAAAGGGAACATCTGATAAAGTTGCAGTTAAAGATGTGAAAACATATAGGAAGATGTCTGGTAACTTGAAATTTTATTACTAATGACACATATATTTTTTTATCTATGGTCAGCAGCAGATTTTTTTAGTACTAAAAAAAAATAAATGGAATATAAATTTGTCTAAAGAACTTATAACTACCATTTCCCAAGGGGCACAACACGTGCTTAGTGCGACACTCAGGCTATATTACTTAAATTTTACTATTCATTTTAAAATTCACACATTACTCAGGTGAAAAAACAGCCAAATACTTCCAAGTTTTCAATTAAACAGGAACAGTAAAAAGCCTCCCTTTAGTTTTACAAGGCCTCTTTTGCCTCACACACCCTTTCTCTACCTCACACTTGATACAGCCCGAGCACTGCGTGAAGCCACACAACATGTGGAGGGGAGTTGAAAGCAGAGCAGCTCCCACAGCGAGCTGCCAAGGTCAGCAGCAAAACCAAGGTCTCCTATTTGAAGGGGGCTCCTCTCAATCAGCAAAGCAAGGGCTTAGGAGAGGGCTGCCTGCCTCCGCCGAGCACACCGGAGCTAGGGGAGGTGTGGATCAGTACCGGGGCGCACGCAAACACCCCGTGCATGAGGACAGCGCGAGGCACCGCCTCAGGCCGCAGCTGCGCCCTCGCCACCCTCCCTGCTCCCCCAGGGCCCGGGCAGCGCTCAGCAAACAGCCTCCCACCCCCGGCTGGGGGCTCACGCTGTTCCTGCCCTTTTCAAACACCGAAATCCCTTCCCCTTGCCCCGCAGAACTCGGTCTTTAGACATGGGAGGTCTGCAGGCCGTAGAAAGCACGCGGATGGGGAAGAAAGCCACGCCGGAAGGCAGCTGGGAAGGAAGAGGGCACTACATAACTCAAGAAAGAAGAGGACCCAGGCGACCTGTAGTATCTGCTTTTTCTGCTGCCTCATCACATCTCCTTGGAAAAAAGCCTAGTCAGGACCAAACCTGCTAAGGTGAGCTGAGGAAGAAAGGTCAGCAATGGAAGAACTAGCCCTGCTTCCAAACACAGCACCCAAAAAACTGTCTGATCACTCAAGAGAAAAAACCATGCAAGAAACCTGCAGGCTTCTAACTGCCACAGCAAGACTCCCTTGAACATCTTTGTAAACAGGGGGACATTAAATGCATTTTACTGTAAAATACGACCAGTCTGACAAGGATTATAGTGTGCAGCGGCTCTTGAAGAAAATCAAACTGCCTGGGATGTCACTTCCCATGCTCTGCTTGCCAGGAACCTCCAGCAAGGGACATTATTAATGTGTAGGGATTCTCCTAACTAACACACTTAAGTAGTTTGGCAAAAAAATGCTTACCCCCAAAATAACTTTAAACAGCATCTCTAATAGTATTTAGTAAGTCTGGTTTAAATGGACACAAACTAACCTAAGCTACAAAGACAGTACTGGACCTACTAAAAAGTTTATTTTGACTGTACATGAACTACGTTACACAATCACAATAGATTATCACATAAGCGAATGCATCACTTGAGCAACAACACAAACAGCCTAGCAAAACACACCAACACCTATGCAAAAATGTAAATCTGTTTAAATACCACACTAATACTTGGAGAAGAAAAATAAAGTAAAAGGACTTCCCTCACCCAGTGGAAATTACTACAGAGAACAAAACTCCGAGAACAGCACAGAGTGGTAGATACACTTTTGATCAGTGTTTCTTCATAGGCAGTTTTCAATTACCAATATCACATTTTTGATTTCCAATTACAAAATAGAGAAAATAAAGAATTGAAACAGCAAGTCTTTAAAAATGGTAAGGATAAAACTACAGAAAGAATAGCATTGTTTATTCACTTTACATCAAACCTACCTTGTTTTCATTTCCTAAAGAAGCATAAAATCTTCTAAAAACGCTTATCTGTAAGTACTGAGTACAATACATACCTTTTCCACAGAATAATTAGAGCATGAGCCATCAGACACCCAACCACTAGTAGCTTTTACTTTTGCTGTGCTTTTTGTAGGGCTCTTTTTTACACTGTCACGTAGGTTGGTAAATTTTCCTCTATGTTTTGAAGAGGCCGGCAGAGTGGCTGAGCTAAAAGACGCGTGAACGTTCAGCGCCTGCTGCGGCTGCCGGAGAGGCTGCTTTGGCTGCACGTGAAGATTTTGACGCGTTTCCATTCTGGAGCTCCTTGTTAAACCAGTTAGCTCGAGCGTTTCCACTTCATGCTCATCTATGGCACCACCACGTTTGTGGCTGTGACAGTAAGCAGTCATGAAACTAGCAATACAAGTAGTCCGTTTGGAAAGTAAAAATTAGGAGGGTGAAAGCAAATATTGGCTCCTATAGAAGTTTAAAAAACATATATTTTCTGGATTATGGTGATAGGAAGAAACTCTAAAACGCTGCTGTACCTAGCCCTGCATTTTGTGTAGTCTATTTAAAGAACACCATTGAACCACCACCCAACAGTCAATTTGTGAGGCATAAATAATCAATGCAACGCACAAAGCACTGAATAGATGGCAAAAGTCACCTGACTTTGCTTAAACCTAAACTATGAAATGTTAGATGATGTCCTACATAAGCTCCTGCTATCCCTAAACATCTTTATTTCACAACCTCTAAGCTTCTCCAGGTTATGCACCTACTAAACGTGCCTATTCTCTATCATTACATACTGTGGCTGTGGCTTAAAGAAGCCAGTGATGAAAAGCAAAGAATTGTGAAGAGCAAGATATGTTGTGCAATATACCAACAACAAACTTGCAGCAAGGAATAATTTCTTCGAATCACAAGAAAAAAAAAAAGTAGGTTTATTTCCTGTGTTTCTAGTATTAGAGTGGCATTTCAGTGAAATACAGTAGCTTTTTTCAGAGCAATTTTAAGATGGAGAACATGTCTATGAATGAAGAACTAATAAAATGCAATTATTACAAAGTACCTCAGTTTTTAAATGCCATAAACTCTATGCCATATTTTTATCCTAAATGTCAAAACCAAGAACACCAAAACTCTTCTTCCGCCGCCACCTAAAACAAACACGGAAACAGGAATGGGCTTGTTGCCATCATGCTGACAAATATTTAACTTCACCAGCTAATTTTAAATCAACTATTCTAAAAAAAGAAAAGGGTCAGAGGTTAAGTCCCCAGAGCACACATGAAAATTGACAACTAATAGAGAAATCCATAGCACTGGCCCCATGGAGGGAGGAGGCGGCGAGAGGCGGCGGCCGCCACAGCCTTCGTGCCAGCGCACACAGCGGGAGCAGTCGCGCTGCGTCCCCCTGCCTCCTGCCCTATGGGTCTGTTCTAGAAATCCACTGTAAATCGGAAACTCTGGCGCTGGCTGAGGTAAGAATGCAGGACACCAGCCCCTAAGAAAAAAAGCTTGATTGGGTCAGCTGCACACACTGCATTTAGAGAGAACAAAGCAGTTTTATCAGTTCAGAGCATTA